CTGAACGCTTTTAAAAAAGATCGTTCCGCCTCGGTGTACACCAGCTTTGCGCACCACACTCTCCAGCAGGAAGTTGAAGAGATAGCACGAGAGGGCATCGCCTTGCCTGAAACCTCGAACGGTATCAAAGGGTTCGGAGAGGTCCTTTCCTACCTTGACGGAGCTACGAGTGTTGCTCAACGTCATTCTGCAAAGTCGCACTAGCTTTGCAGGGATACCGAACTCAGACAGTGCGGCATATACACGTTCCCTCCTCGGGCTATCGAATGCTGCTTTATAATCGACGAAAAGATGGTGGGTATCGATTTGAAACTCATGGGTTTTCTCCAGGATTTGGCGTAGCGTGAATATCTGGTCAGTGGTGGATTTACCAGGCATAAAGCCGCACTGATAAGGCCCAATCAGTGCTATCGCAAATGGCTTTAGCTTATCACACACTACGCTTGATATGACCTTATATGCGACGGAAAGAAGGCTGATTCCACGATAGTTGGTGCAGACCGTGGGATCACCTTTTTTTAAGACGGGACATAGGACACCGAGATTCCAATCATCAGGCATGCTTTCAGTTAGCCATATTTTGCAAATGAGCTGGTGCATGCACCCTACCAACTCATTGCCGCCTGCCTTAAACAGCTCCGCAGGCAGCCCATCTGCTCCCGCAGATTTGTTGTTTTTGAGCCGCTGGATGGCTGTTTCGACTTCGTCATGGCTAGGTGACGGTACTTCAATACCATCGTCGGCGATCGGTTCTGTGGGGTCATCTCCGCTGGCGGAATTGTTAACATCTTCGCCTGATAGAAGATTGGAGAAATGTTCCCTCCACAGTCTCAGTGCCGCTTGCCCGTCCACCACCAGATTTCCTTCCGAGTTCTTACAGGCTGACGCTGCGGGCTTAAAACCTTGTGTTAGACGCTTCACCTTCTGGAAAAATTTCCTAGCGTCGTTCCTGTCTCTACAAAGCTCCATCTCCTCTCGCTCTCGCTTTTCTTGCTCTCTCTTCTTGCGTCTAAAAAGCCGCCTCTCCTCCCTCTTCTTCTCCCGATATACATCATGCACAGCGCGCGTTGTCGCCGTCTGCAGGGTTCTTTTGTACGCGGCATTCTTCGCTGCAGTGGCTTCGCGGCACTCCTCGTCGTACCATTGGTTTCTCGGTAGCGGCTGTTGGAAACCAATGACATCTTCTGCGGCTGTGTGCAGTGAGCGGGAAATATGTGCCCAAAGTCCGCTACCAGTATCGGTTTCCGAGAACGGTTGAGAAAGCAGCTCAGAGAGTTGAGCGGAGTAAGCTTCGGCAGTCTGTTGTGCTAGCAGCTTTCCGACGTCTAGTTTTCGCTGCGTGTTGGGGCGTACATTTTTCGCCATGCATAATCGCATGCGGACCTTGGCTGCAACAAGTTGGTGGTCCGAATCAATATTCACACCACGGAACGTACGCACGTCCAGCACACTGGATGCATGCCTTCCATCTATCACAACATGGTCTATTTGATTTTTTGTCATTCGATCGGGTGACTGCCAGGTAGCTTTGTGGATATCAAGGTGTTCAAATCTGGTGCTACTCACCACCATGTTTCGTGCTGCGGCGAAGTCAATTAGCCTCAGTCCATTGTTGGATGTTGTCTCGTGGAGGCTGAATTGTCCGACTGTCGGGGCAAAGACGCGCTCTCTTCCAACCTTGGCATTAAAATCGCCAAGAACAATTTTAATGTCATGAGAGGGGCAGCGGTCATAGACTGTCTCCAGTCTCGCATAGAACTCGTCCTTGGTAATCTCGTCTTTGTCCTCCGTCGGAGCGTGGACGCAAATCAGGCTTATGTTGAAAAATCTCGCCTTGACACGAATGGTTGCCAGCCGTTCGTTCACAGGTGTGAACCTAGAGACACAGTTACGCAATCTCTTGCTGACCGCAAAACCGCATCCAAATTCGCGTCTTTCTGCATGGCAGCTGTAGTAGATGTCAAAGGCTGCTCTTTGGGAGCAACCCTGACCTGTCCATCGCATTTCCTGGATGGCGGTGATGTCAGCTCTTACTTTATTGAGAGCATCCGCCAATTGGATAGTAGCACCTCCTCTGTTAAGGGTCCGGACATTCCAGGTGCATATCCTTAAATCGTGGTCCTTTAAACGTTTGCTAGGGTCGTCAACTTTTGGGTGTTCCTTATCCGAGGCTGTTGTTATGTCCTTCACTGGGAGTAAAAAATTTTCATGTGGTGGGTCCCAAGCCCTACGCACAAAAGCGCTGCACACATTTGCTCACTTACCAACTCCGGATGGAGCCGGAAAGCTACCCAGAGAGCACCGCGAGGAGGTCGTGTGTCAACTTGATGATGGCAGAGACAAAGATCACTCTGGCCATTTCCACGTTAATGGCAGTCAGAAGCTTTACATTGTTCTACCAAAATCCGAGCCCTCGAGAATATTTGATTATACTAGAAAATTAGGAGTTGTTGAAATTCCTGAAGTATATCGCACAAACTTGACAAAAGACAAGGCCAGCTGTGGCGAATGTAACCTCAGCCAAAAGATAGTTAACGGGCGCTTGCTTATTATTTTTGTTGGTGTTGTCGTTACTGCTGTAGCAACACCTGTTGCCATGGCCCGTAGTTAGTCGCCTCTTTGGCTATATGTTGACAATTTTTGTTGTTGTTTTTCATACCTGCCTGATAATGATTCGGCAGCAGCCACAGCAGTGGCAGCAACAGCAGCAGCAGCAATGAAACTTCCTTATTTGTCATTGTTGTCTTTGATATTTCGACTTTTTCACTGTGCAGGCTACATTCGACATCTCTGCACCGAGTCTAGCATTTCACTGATGAGCTTTCCAAGTCGATGATAATGATGACTACATTTCTTGCTGGCTCGACTCATTGTGTAAACAATTAGATGGCAAGTGCAAGTGATTAATATCATTGAATGATTATCAAATGGTAGTTTATGTGGCCACTGATTTATGAAGATATTGTGAAAAGATGAGCATTCAACTGTTTGGGGTCTCGGCAACACACATACATATATTAGTTGATTAATATCATTTCAAGCTAATGATAAAGTTTATATTTAATGATATTTTCTTTTCAATGTTTCCAATACATTGGCCAACCTTTGCAGTGGTTTTTAAGAGAAATTAAGAGATTAGTGGCTGCAACCGAAAGTTGAAAGTTAATGAAAAAAATTATAAACGATCTGCAAATTGTTAATTATTATATTTGCTAATATCCAAAATTGCGCTGTTTGTCCAACTCCAATGTTGCACGGAAAAATTTTATTATACTTTAAAGGAATAGCTCGTGCTTGCTCTGATCATTGTGATTAAACTAAGCGATGAGTTAGTTTGTTAATGGAGCCATCGCATATTTCCCATCACATATCGTTTGCTTGTGCCAAAGTAATTGCAGCAAAGCTATCAATTCTCCCTACTTAATAACAGCATTGAACTGACAATTGTTGAATAGCATGCGAAAAGGCAATCGCACTTCAAATTCAACTTCTCTTAAGTGCCGTTAGAGGAGGAGAAGCCTTGACAATGACAACCAACTGCGACTATTGCATGTAATTGCAAATTGAAAAACGTGAATGACCAAAAATGCCAGCCGTTATAGACCGTGCAATGCCGAAACTAAATTAAATAATAAAGAAGCAAAAGTCAAAGCTGCAGACCAAAAACGAAGCATCTGAACTTTATTTACCGAGACACCTACACGCAAATATATATATCTTTATATATATACCCATAGTATATTGTATACGGACAGCTGTTGGGCCATTCTTTTTCATTTCAGCCTTTTTATTTTAAGTTCTAATGTCAAGTTGCAATGCAGCGTGAGTTAAATTTATTTGCATTATGTTGCTTTGATGAAATCAAATTTAGGTGTGAGAATTTTTTATGTTTTATGCAAACCTCGCTCACCAACTTGCCGAAAAAAAAAACGAACACACCAAGGCAATCAACTAATTTAAATACAAAAAAGCAATTTCAACAAGAAGCAGCCACGAAGCTGAGACAATGCATAGAGGTGGCAGAACAAATGCCTTCCCTCCCCAAAAGCCTTCTTCTAAGAACGCCACAATGCATATAATTTGGCAAATGTTAATACAAAATTTATGTGCACATAAAATTTGTTTAGAGATTTCGTTCAATTTGCAATGCTATTGAAAAGAAGCGACCCAAGGCATTTCGTAAACAACTCTGTTCAAATGAAATAAAAAACAATCAAATAAATAAATAAATTGGCCCAATCATTGAAAATTGTTTTGGTTAATTGAAAGTGGCCAGAAAAGAGTGTCAGTGGGTAAAGAGCTGAGCATTATATTGTTTATTGTGTTTGCCGAGTTGTGCAAAAATTAAAACAATTATATGAAATTATGCAAAGTACGCAGCCAACAACAACAACTACAACAACAGCTGCATGACTACCTGACGGAAGCTTTACCGTCCATGCAAAGTGAATGGCTGACTGACTGACTGAATGACTGACTGACTGACTGACTGACTGTTTTAGGCACAACAGCTGCCTGCAATTTCTTTAGCTGAAGGAGGCTGCCTGGACAAGCCTAAAATGTAATAATTTATTGCTCATACGCCCTGTGTTGCCGCTTGCCATAAAATTTGCTTGCGTGTGTCCAAGTCTTGGACCAGCATCTCCCACCAGCATCTCCCATCATTCAAGGCATCCCCCATAAATTTGTGCATTGGCAGCATCTTCTTTTCTCGCAATGAGACTGTCGACGACTTTATCTTCGCTGTCTTGTGGGCGTACAAATTATGTAATTACAAGTATTGTCAACATCGGCGCTTTTTGTTCAGCTCGAAGCATTGACAATGTGTCGTCTTGCCTCGCATTGTTGGCTTTGTTGCGCTTTGATTTGTCTATGTGGCGAGTACATTTATTATTTTTTGTGTGATTTCCATTACCTAATACGTTTGTACGTGCAGCAACAATAAATATGATTCACAGATGAATTTCAATTTGTATTTTTCAGGCTCTCCAGTACACAAAATGCAGCGACGAACACAATTCCATATACTCTGCTGTGGTAAGTTGAAGATACACTGAGTGATAATTAAGGTTATTTGATTGGAATAATAATAGATTAGCTTTTGTGTAGCACAATTTATATGATCACTTGCTTACTAAGAGTGGGAAATTATATATGGTAGCTTAAAATTAATGAAACAATTTCTGTAAAGCGCTGTAAGAGTCAATTTATATTGACAAATTTACTATTAATCGTTGGACGATGATTATTATTTATGAATTTGTCACTGACTATAATTTATCTTGCAATTATCATTGCTCTCAATTCTTTTCGATAATTTCTTCTTTTAAGAGCATTTTAATTAAGTTTACGTACGTATTAGGTTTAAATTTAGTTAAATTTATTTTTGAATTAGCAGCTATATATTTAATTTAAAAACTCAGTTAAATTTAATGACAAATATAATTTTGAAGATAGTAAATCGATATTATTACCTTGACTTGCCTTCACGATTTTAGTAGAATATTTCATCCTTTTGGATTGATATTCAAATGTATTGTAAAATAAACTTTAGCTTCCTTTCATCTCCTTGAGTATGGAAGGGGTATTTATATTTTGAACACAATTCAACATTATAGATTGTTTTATTTTTATTTATTTTATCATTTTAAATTATTGAAAAATTATTATTTAATTAATTTGAGTAACGTTAATAGAAATCCCATTTCTTGCTTTTTTATAACAAAAAGTACATTAGGTCTTTTCAGCTCATTAACTAAGTTAAATAAATGATCTCATCATTCAGTAAAAAACGAATTTATTCATTAATAACCGTATTGCTGTTTTCAATCTTTGCCAAAACCCTCAAAAATGCATTCACAAGTTTTTTGATAAATTTCTCCATGCAAATGCCACATCCTTGACCTTGTCTATTGACAATATTCCCACTATTTATGTAGACTATGAACGGCTCTTTCACGCGTCAATGCGAACTTGCAACACTTTGACCGCCAATCTGCTGCCTATTAACAATTAAGTCTGACGTCCCCTCCCCTCCCCTCCCCACCCCATGCCTCCAACCCACTCACCCCCTCACGCTTTTGCGCATGCGTGCGTTGTTCGAAATGGGGCCAGAGTAGCGCATATTGCGTTAATGTGCCTTTGTCTGTTGCGTGTGGCATGTGTTTGTAGTGTTTTGTTGTTGCTGTTGCTGTTGTTTTTGGCTTTGTGGCTTGTCACACGCCAAAATAGCAAAAATGCTCGCCGGCATTGTTTAGGGTGAGCTGCTCAGACAATTTTGTGTGCGATTTAAGTAGATTAGATGTCATTTTTTGTGCGCTTGAATTTGAATTTAATTAATGGAAAAGGGCAACGCCACTGCCACCGCCATATAACTGTAACTGTAAATGGTGGGAAATGTGTTGGTGTTGGTGGTTGCGGCCGAATGATACAAAAATGTTTTAAGACTCATTAGCGTTGGACACGACAACGCATGGCCGATGACCCAGACCCAAATGAGCGAAACATATTTCAAACAAATGAAATCAACAATAATCACAACACGAATTCAGCAGTTTTTGTTTTCCTCTTATTGAGTCTCTTGGGCGTTTTAGTACGGGTTGGCGGTCTGGCGAATAATTATAGAGCTTGAGCGACAGCACATCTCAATTAAGTTGGCGGGCGATGCACACGCCTCACGCATCACGTGGCAGTCGTAAACGTAATCGCGCCAGCCTATGCCGTGGGGTCTTGGATTGGATGCCAAGATGATGGGCCAAGTGTACAACATGACGTATGAGTAATGGCCATCAAGCTCTACTGGGGTTGTCAATCAGCGAGCTCAAATTATGGCCAATTGTTTAATTTTATAAAGCAGCAACACCCGCTATTTAAAGACCCAATCGGGCAATGTTGTCGTCTGTCGATTCTTGGGGCCTATTGGCCGATGATTCATATAATCACGGTACATCAAGTCAATTATTGGCCAACGAGGCCTTGAATGTGAGGTCATTATTGTCATCCAATAAGCTATTAGCTATCGTCTTCATTTCCCCTGGCGTTGACTGCACATATTATATGGAAGGGGGGAGGGCGACGAGCAGTTAAGCTGTGCAGTTTAAATTTTTCGTATTTCTACATTTAATTGTTTTCTTAGTTTAATGTTTGATTGTTGTGTGTGGTGCCTGAGGCCGGTAGCGGGCAATGTTGTTACTGTTAACTGTTATTTGTGAGGGAAGTTGTTGTATTAAGTCGAACTCCAAGTTACTTAGAGTCACATTTGGATTAAGCAATTCATTTACGCTTCGAGTGTCGGATATATTAATTAATACATGATGTTAAATTAATTTAAATACAAAAATTAATTGAACGGTTAACAGAAGGTATAAAGATTAGCCATTTATAAAATAAAATAATAATCTTCTTTCTAAAATAAATTAACAAATAGTTGTGATTAAAGTTTTTTTTACTATAATACTGCACGCTTTTCTTATTGTATTTTATAAAATACTGCGTACAAATATATAAGTCTTGGAATTGAAGACCATCTTCGATTTAATTTAAAACCATTTCGGAAGCATTTTATTCTTCAGTTTTCCTAAATACAGACTTTGTCCTTATAGTTTAAATTTAATTAATTTGTATATATTTATGATTTATATTGTTCAGTTGTATGTTTTGATTTTAGTGATTGACAGTATTCAAAGTTTATACCCATTTAACTAACTATGTTTCTTTTCCGTAGCTCTGCTTCTTTTGGCCGTTCTTGACTTCACAGCCGCAGAGGCTAAGGTAAGCAGAGAGCTTACATCATCGAATTTCTGTACTTAATTTTTAATCTTTTGTAGTATCGCACGCCAGCCCGTATTCTGGCCAAACAAACAGGAGCCACACAATTCGAAGAGGAGCGTTACGAGGCGCATTCAAATTGCAATGAACACAAACATCATTTGAAGAAACGCGCCTCCGACGAGGATGTCGACTATGAGGTCTATCAGGGTGTTGTGGGCCGGCCGGGTATTGATTTTCCCATTTACCCGCGCATTCCAAAGACCTCCTTCAGTTGTCGATCCTATGGCAATGGCTATTTTGCGGATATGGAAACGGATTGTCAGGTAAATCAAAGTGTTGAATAAAAAAGTTAAAGCTAGATACAAATAGTTAGAAAATAAATTTTACAAACCTACGACCGAATTTAAAGAATCATGAAGAGTTCAAGAGCTTTGTTTAGGTATATACCTATTTTAATTGGTCATCTTCATGAAACAAATCCATTTTTGTAGAGAAGAACTTTCTTTAAAAATTGCCTATATATTTTTATGTTGCCTGCCTTTTTAATGATTAATTCAATCTCTTGCAGGTCTTTCACATTTGCGAAGAGGGTCGCAAGATATCGTTCCTTTGCCCCAATGGCACCATATTTCAACAAAGCGAGCTCACCTGCGACTGGTGGTTCAAGGTCAATTGTCTGGGCTCCTCGGGCTACTATGCTGAGAGCGCTGAGATACTGAACAAGCAGCGAGTGCATCGCGTGCGTCCCTCTGTGCCGGTTCAGGGCTTCAACATCGTTGGCGGTGGTCTGAATATTAAGCCTAAAGTTACACCTGTTGCTGGACAGGCCCGTACACGTACTGGAGGCAAATCCGATCGACGTATTGACTCCACCGAGGAGGTAGAGAGCGTGGATTTTGATGATGTGTCGGGTGAGAAACAGAGAAAGGTTATTGCCACCATCGATAACAACAGCAACAATGATGAGACTCAGATTACGGCGGAAAGTTCGTCCTTTGTGAGTGGATCAGGGGCTGGAAGCAAGCGACGCAATAATAACTATAACAGCAACATCGATGACAGCACATCGCTTAAGCCCAGCGAGCAGCTACAGTTTAAACCATCGCGAAGTCGTGGCTCTCAGGAGCGCAGCTCTGGGGCTCAGCGCTACGGTAATCTTCATAACGAGTCCACCGAGCGTGCTCGCAACGGCCAGAGGGGGCAGCAACGCTATCGCGATAATGGAAAGCCCATTGCAGATTCGCATGAACGCGGCGCCAGCGAGGAGCATAGCAAGGACCTAAATAAGCATAGGCCTGTTGATAAGCCAGCACAACTAAAGGGCAGCGATGCTGACAAGCCGGATTTCTTTGAGGCGTATTCAACGCGTTCCGTGCAGCACACCACACCCTTCTATACGGCCGGAACTTATTCCACAGCTCGACGTCTCGAGCCAAGTAAATCAACGCCATTCTACACCCCCACGGTGCCCAGTGTGGCCAAGACCAAGGCCACCGAGGGGAAACTGAACTACGTTAAAGGCGTGCTCAGTACTGTGACGACGCCGAATCCGAATCGCCTAAGTGGCAGCGCCATTTCCGGCATATTCTTAGAGTCCTCTGTGGCGCCAAAACCAACAACTAGCGCCTCTTTAGAACTGGACGCTACCTACAAGCCAGTTGTCATTGGTATGCGTCATCACTATGATGTGGCTTCCTCGGGAGAGTTCAAGACGCGTCTCACGCTCAATGCAAATGCTCCGTTAACTGTAGAACAGCCCACGCACAAGTTGTCGGCGAAGAAGAGCGAGAGTCGGGACTATTTGCCCACCACACCCGCTCCCACGAGCAGTAGCGGACCCACCTATTTGCCCAAGAGCGCTTTGGCTCCGAAGGTGAATGCTGGCGCAGCCGGAGGTGAAGATTTGCTCTTTGCGCCCAGTCCCAGCCAGGATGACAGCGTCTATCGCAATGTGCAGGACATGTTGAAGACCATGAACCTGTTGAAGGACAAGTTTGAGGATGTAGAGGTCAATGTGCAGGCGCCAGCGCGTGTCGGCTTAGAAATTCCACCCTCCTCGGGACCAGATGCATTAGTCTCCTTAGCCAAGTACTTCGCCCAGGAGCACAATGACACGGGCAATTCTCTGGGAGGCAAGACGGCCAGCAAGGATGAGAAGCACGCCTTCAAGGCAAAGCTGCCAGTGAAGGCGCCATCCACAGTTTCAACCTCAGCGTCTTCATCAGCATCCTCATCAGCGGCGGCAGCATTGCCAGCGGGCAAGCCCTCAGATACGACAGCCAGCCTGACCACGCCCAGCACTCCCTCCTTGGGCATTAGCGGGCATGCTGATGATATTAAGCATAGTTTGCTGAGCGCCAACACTGTGGAGAAGTACACCACGCTCTTTGGCTTGAAGGAGAGTAAGGGTCGTGTAGCTGGTGAGCAGGATTTAAGCCTAGGCTTGCTTTCTCCGCTAAATGAGACACAGGCACCGTCAACTGGCGACAATTATCAGCCTTTTCCGCAAATTGGCAGCACGGGAGCGACCATTGGTGCTTTGGCTGAGAAACCTGAGTCGCGAAAGATTGCCCAAATCTTCTCCAATGCGCTCAGCAGCTATCTGGATAATCCGAGCAATTTCCGGGCCGAGTTAGCCGCTCGTGCACGCCCCACAGAACCACCTTCGACAGCTAACTTTAAGCCCGTAACCACTACGGATGCGACGCTCTTCAGCGATGGCACGGCTAAGTATTATTTGCCGACGAAGTCAACACCAGATGCAACCACTCCCACACCACCCAGCATTGCAGCCGAAATCAATCACAAGTTCGACTCGACACCGGCACCCGATTATACTTCTACTACAGAGCTCTACGAAGGCACCACCTATCGCAGCTCGCACGAGCTGGAGCTTTCGGCAGAGCTCTCGCCGCCCAGCCCCGATTCTGGTGAGGCCGATGAGTTCCTGCAGCAACAGCAGACTCAGTCGTTCGTGAAGTCTCGCAATAATTTGCTGCAGGAATCCAAACCTCAGAAGCTTATCACCACGCACAAGCCCACTGAGCATCCCTGGAGTCTGAAGTCGCAGACGGACTTCCTTGACCCCCTGACCATAAATGATGGCCTGATGAAGGATCAGCGCGTCACAACACCCTCGCCATTCACCTATCTGCCAAAATCAACGACTACAGCCACGCCCGCACGCTATAGCGGTCAGCTGCAGACCCTCTCGGATGCCGTGCAGCGCAGTCACGACTCCAACTACGAGTGGGATGACATTTTCCGAAGCTACGATCTGCCACGGGATGCTCTGCCCTCCAGCAGTGGACTGCAGCGCATAGCCAACAAGCTCTTTGGCGGACTAAACGAGCAGGAGGCGCTGCATCTGAAGAATGTCATGGCCAAGGCGGAACACGATCGTCAGGTGTTAAGCTTGCTCCTCCTGCTCATCCAGACCTGCGACGATCACAATGGGAAGGCGTTGGAGCGATCACGCAAACATCTTCTCAATGCGCTCATCGATATTGACAGCAAGCTGCCGAAGGGCAAGGGGAAGATCAAGCTAGCCACCACAACCACCCGCGTGCCAGTGACTACTTTCCGAAGAGCAGGCTCAGAGATTAGCACCACACCCTCCGCTGTCTATACGACCACGACAGAGCTGCCGGCATTCACGACAACGACGGCGAGCGCGGCGAACAGCTTCGAGGAGACAACAAAGTTCGAAATACGCGTCGAGGATGTCGAGGATGCGGATGTGTCGACGACGACGGCGGCGTCTGTGGAGTTGGCCAGCGGTGGCGGCTCAGACCGACGAGCACTGGAGCTGCTCAAGTCATTATACTCGCTAGCATCGAAGTTCAGCAGCAGGCGATAGGGTTGTCAGTTTCCTAAACGGTACATCTTAGAGTTGCCAACTGTTTGAAAGTGCATAAAACATTTCACTTTTAGTCAACTTGCAATCGCTTCCGTCTTTCGTCCTTCACTTCCACGCGCCTTAAATTAGTTTAAACGAACCTACCTACTCTACTTTACAAGTATATTTTTAATGTTTTTCATTTTCGTTCTTAATTTCCAACTTGAACTTTCGTTTTGTTAATTAATTTTGTTTAGCCAATACAAGATGTAGACATAGAGCAGCTGCAAATAGTTTGTAAATATGTAAAAGCTCCCCACATTTCTCATCGACATAATCCCAAAAACAAAAAAAAAGTGCGACTTGATATTTGCGAGCGTGCATTGCTCGAGGCAGCCCTTCTTCCATAATAATGATATACTATGTATGTGTGTACGTTTAAATACAAACTACAGTGTAAACGAATTGTATTAAATTAGTTTCTTAGTTGTATTTCCCCAAATCGAACTATCTGTACGCCCATATGTCTTGCTCTTTTTGTAAATATTTATTTAAAGTTAACAAAATATATAAAAATAATAAAAACATATAAAATAAAAATAAATGGAGCTTACACATTTTTAGGGGGAGTGGAAATTAGAAGAGAAAACATGTTGATATTCACCTAACAAATAACCAGATCTGTGCTATAATATAAATGCGCCTAGAAGCATACGAATACAATATCATAGCATACATATAGGCCAGATAAGAGTGCAATTCCAGTAATAATACGATAATATCAGTGTGATATTAAGATGGGATTTGTCGTCATTTAAATTTATCGAATCAGGTCGAATGTTTTAGTTCCACAGAACGACATTTATTTTTCTTAAAATGTATTTCTTGATATTCGATATTTTCAAAAAAATAAGTTATATATGCATTAGCGTTTGGCGCCTCAAAGTATGCAATACTTTGTATGCAATATTTCTATATATGAATGAATGAACCTATTTTCAAGAAATTATTCTTTACTTACCTGAGGAAAGTTCAATTCACTATCATTTCTAACACATTTAGAGGCCGCCCTCGCTCTCATTTAGAAAACACATTAAACGTTCATCATCAACATCATAAACATGATACTTCACAATCCACATTATTGGCTCTCAAATCCCTGACACAATTTGTCAATTATTTGAGCTTCAGGTAATACACATAAATCCCATTTTATTGTATTATTTCAAGGCCAATGCATATTTGCAAAATGTGCGCATTTAAATATTTTTCCAATTTTCTGGCAAATTTCAAACTGAAAACTGAAAAGACAAACTCAAGGGCGAGCCGAAACGACTTCAGATTGCACTTGAAATTATATTTAATTAAATGGCATCGATATGTATATGAATATTACGTATACGTATGGCTTTTTGTGTCTTATAAACTCGTAAGTCGTCTGATTTATGCATTCTGATAACTGTGCAGTAGTTGCAATGTAAACATGAACGTAACAACGGCCGAGCGCTCGAATAACAAACAATGGCTAATCCAGTGTCATAAATTTGCCAAAGCCTAAGCTTAAACAAAGCCCAGGCTTGGAAGCCAACTCTGACGAACTGTCAGGCCGGGCATCTGCCACATAAACATCGATTCCGCAGAGATGCCACAGTCGGGCTTAGAACGAAAAGAGTGAAGAGAATGGCACTGAGAATGCAACTGCCAGTCGATTCAAATATAAATTTCCATGACTGGCCAAAGGCTGACTGCAGTAGACATTCAATTCTGACAAGTGGCGGTTACAGCAACGCGCCAGTGCCATAGAAAAGGATACAGGATAGAGCCGGAGCACAATCAACAAAAGCAGAGCTACATATACTTGTAGAACTTGCAGCATCGATGCGACTACAAAGCCAACTCTTGGCAGGTGAGTTGCGGCCATTCAGGGTCAGACTTCGAAGCGTTGCCTCAACAGAGGGGCGGACCGACTCGACTGACGATCGAAGCGTTCAGCGCCTCATTAATATAAGCACTTCCTTTTGGGCGCTGACGCTGTGGGCGTCTGTCTGTCTAACTTTTTGCTGCCTTGCATATTTATGGTGCATGCGTATTCTTCTTTTTGGCCAACTTGCAACAACAGCAAGAACAACATGAGGCAATTGATGGCCAGCCAATTGATGTTGGCAGTCAGTTGATGTTGGGTGCGTTACCGTTTAGATGGCACAGTGGGCCAAAGATGGATAGTTAGGGAAATAAATGCAGATATAGTTTGTCTGTTTGATGGAATTTTTCGAATTCAATTTTATTATTTTGAATTGATGCCAGTGAAGAAATTAATTTTTATTGAATAAATTATTGATCAAATTAATTTGATTTGAAAATTTATTTAAAATTAAAGAGTACAAATATTTGAAAGAATTGGCACGCATTTTCTTGCAGAAACAAATACACGTAATATTTTTTTTTAAATAACAAAGATAAGAATGATTTATAAGAAGCGGCTGCTTTTATTTGAAAGGTGCAAATTTCGACATTAAATTATAGTAAAATAACAAAGTTAAAATTAGATCCACAAACAGAATTCGGTAATGTCCGCCTCTGTTTTGAGCCCACAGTGCGTAGAGTAGGAAACTGATAAATAAGATTCGTGAAGCAAATCCGCGTACTATCAGCGACAGAAATCACAGCAGACAACGTACTTGGCCTTAAAATGGAGCTCTCGAAGCTGATGCTGAAACTGGCAATTGGCCAGAGCCGCAGTTTCATTCAATTTGTTGCAACGACTGAGCCCAGAAGCACGATACGCGCATGCTGCGATTTCTACAGACCCGCAACCACATATTTAGAAAGTGCTAATGTCGCCTCTTCACCTATTTACAGTGTGTCTGATTTGGAGCGCACAGCAATTGAGTGTGTGGGTGAGTCGAACATTCTTATAAGGATTAGATTGAATATATAAAGCAATTACCATTTTACGATTTAGGCACAAAGCGGCTATAACTATGCGCGTCCGGAATTGGCTGCCGCAACCGCTGCTGGAGGTGTGAGTGCGGGTGCACGATTAGCGGGTGGCGCCACCCTTCTGCCGGGCTCTTATCCCACAGCTGCGGGCACTGTGCCTTTGACCAGCGCTCCAGCTACGACTGGCTATGGAGCTGGTTTCTTTCCATCACCCGCTGTGGGCTTCACACCCAGTGGACAGGCTACCACAGCTTTTGGCGCACCAGCGGCTGTCGGCAGCATTCCCAGCGCCCCGGGTGGCAGTCTGCCACAGTCGCAGCCACGTAGACCCACAGGCACGGTGCCGACGAACGCACGTGGCGGACCCTTTGCGCAGCCACAGTACAACACACTGGGACGTTCGAATGCTGGTGGCGTGGGCGTGGGCGGTGGCAGCAATGCGGATAACGACGAGGACTATAGCGGTGGAGACTATTCGGCCATACCGGGTGTGCCTGGCGTGGACTACCCCGTCTATGCACAGGTGCCTCGCACCAATTTCGACTGCTCGCAGCAACCACTGCCGGGCTACTACGCGGACATTGAGGCGCAGTGCCAGGTGTTCCACATCTGCGCCCTGAATCGCACCTATTCATTCCTCTGTCCCAATGGTACGGTCTTCAGTCAGGAGACGCTCGTCTGTGTGTGGTGGAATCAGTACGATTGTGTTTCCGCGCCCAGTCTCTATGCGAACAATGCCTACATCTACGACTATGGCACTGCCGGCGCCCCCAATACCAATCCAAATGTGAACGCCAACGCTTACCAGGTGGCCGGGCGTACGGCTCCAGCCACAACTGCGTATGGCGCTAATATCAGCGGTGCAGCTGTGCTTCGTCCAACTGGGGTGCCACAAGTGAGCGGATTTGTGGGTGGCAGTGTGGCGCGTGGCTATGTTACGCCTAGTGCCACGCCCACGCAGACCCAGCCACAATTTGGTGCCGTCATCCGGCCTGCTGGAGTATCCGGTACCGTGGCCACACCGGGCGTCGCACGTGGCGCTGTGGCGGGTGGAGTTGCTCCTGAAAATCGTGAGTATTTACCACCAGCCGCCGCTTCAAACACAGGACGACGTCAGCGCGCCATTGCAGTATAAGTATTTGTCCAATTCGATGCGATCCTCAGCACTTGTACCCGGCTATGTTGCATATTTAGTTTAGTTTCCATCATAAAACCATCAATAGGAGCTCCTACTTCGAACCATCCCTCACATCTTATACATTAAGCCAATTTTAGAAACATAAATTTGCAATTAATATAATAAAGAAAACCTTTACACATGAAACTGCGAGCAAATATATATCTGATGCGTATGTTAATTAATTACTGGGTCGTTACAGACACTTCGATATTTTTGGGAACTCTTGAATTCTAGTTAAATATATAAAGCTAAAACTAACTTTAAAAAACTGCAACTTCATGGTATTATCAGTAATTGTATTTCTTCAGACGTTCGTTACAGCAGACTACAGAGTCTGTTTATTTAGTTCACTAAGAAAATCGAATTGCAATAATTTCTGTGACGATCTTCCCTCTACTTCCCTTTGCAGCACCTGCTGATAGTGTTTCCGGAAATTCTCTCGTATAAACATTCGCCTGCCCTTTTTCAACTTTGGTTCGCATTTATTGGGCAGCGGTATACTTGGATTAAAGACCATCTGCGTGCTATCGTACTGTTCAAAGAGTTCATGTGCAGTGCTGGAAAGAGAAAATAAGTATGAAAAGGAAGTCCACTCGTATGCTGTCAACTCATCAATCACTTACAGTTTTCCAATCTCTGTGGGTAATGCACCCTCTCCCGAGGCTGGTACTCCATTGGCAATGTGTGCTGCCATGCGACGCACTGTTGGATGATAGTGGCGAGCTAGTAACGCGAGCTCGTATAGCGACGTACTCGCGGCATTGCAGTATTCCGGATCTTCTAGCTCAGGATCGTAGCGGCCCGAGCCATAGCTGGCATCCGTATCGAGCAAAGCATCCAGCACTGATGTCAGCTGGAATGTCTGCTTAATGGTGGCCAGCGAGGCCAAAGTACCGTGGTGAAGTAAATGTAAGCTGCCCGTCAGTAGCCGCTTTACAAAGGCCATCAAACGTTGTTGGCTCATGTTGCGCCTTCTTTTCACTAACACCTCATCCATGGTACGCAATATGATGCTAAAGTCCGCATGATTCTTGCCCGCATTCACGACCAACATGTTACGATAGAAATGCTGATAGAAGCGAATGGGATCTATGTTCAGCACCTCGCCCTGGCCGGACAGTATGACAAAAATTGTTTGTATGCAGTGCAGCTGCTCTCGATATCCCAACTCCTCCTCTTGCTCCTCAAGAATGCGGTTAAGCACATCGATAAGATCGGAAAAGAATTCCAAATTGATAACATGCGCGAATCTAAATATAACAAAATTTACAAATCAATAATTAAAATTTTAGGCGTAATAAAAAATTAATTAATTTTCAACTCACTCTGCCAATCCTTCGAGTATGGCGCTGAGTACCCGAGACGTGGGATCATTTTTCAGCACTCGAAAGTAAATGGTGAATACCATTTTAATAATTTCCGTCAACTTGTGGTGTTTGGTTTGCTTGTTTTCCTCAGCCCGCGTTTCATCCAGTTCTTTGTTGAGCTCGGTAAGCTTCTTTCGTCGCTTTCGTTCTTTTTTGGACAAACTCAGCAGACGCTGCCTATGCGATTCCAACTTCTTTTGCTTCAACTCATTCTCCTTTTCTGCATCCAGGTTAACATTCTTGATTTTCAAGCCCATAAGACAGGTTATGCATTCCAAGTGCACATTATTTTCTTTCGTTTTAATCAGATGGTTAATGCGACGCACCACAAACAGACTCATGTCCAATTTCTTGTCGGTGGAGAAGAGTGTGCGAAAGCATTTGTGGACTGAGGCGCGCATGTTAGCATAATTACAGTTCAGCATATAGACCAAAAGTTGAGCAATATTCTGCACATAATTGAAGTACGGATGTGCGGCGAGAATTTCACACATGGAGTCCACAGCCACGGCTGCCATTATAATGGCCTTAGGGGTGCGTTGGCCTCCACGTTTGGTCACGGTGGCTGTCAGAAACTCGAGCTTTTGTAGAAATTTCTTAAACTGCTGCAGCATGGCATTCTCATAGGTAACCCGCTCCAAGGTGGCTTTACGCACCGTTTGCATTTTGGTGTCCACCTGTCCCACGCGATATTCGGGCAAAATGTCCTTGAATATCTCGGTTACGGAAATAATTGCCAATCTACGAACAGTTATCAAATTGGGAAGACCAGTTGTTGTATTCACTTCGTCCATAAGCTCGTAGAGCGCATTGAGATTGCGCATTTTATCCTCGGGCTTCTCCAAAATACCCGAACAAATTATGCCAATGCGGTACTTCTGACGTTCAATCTCTTGCTGCCTTGCAATCATCAGATCTGCTGTCGATATCATTCTAGCTTTCGGCGCAGATTCAGCGGCCTCTGCATCATTGACCACATCATCATCGCTGTCTTCATAAACGCTGACTCCACTGTCATCGTCTTCTGCCTCCTCGTTCTTATCCTGGACCGCTTTACGCTGCTTTGGCTTAGGCACATAGTCGACTTCAGTGGTTCGTGTTATGATTTCACCATCACGCGATTTGATGGGCAACAGGTCGACTTTGACTTTCTTCGCTGCCAGTTCTTTTTTGCTAGCACTGCGATATTCCATTTCCAGTCCTACAGAATGTTGCTGCAGTTGTTGCTCTTCCGGTTGCGCTTTCCGCTTTCGTTTATTTCGCTCCTGCAGCAAAGCCAAATCATCGCCATCCAACATGTCCGCAACATTGTCCAGCATATCCCCATCGCCGACTCCATCTTCATCATCATCGGACACATTTAGTTGGCCCAGAGATGCTTGCTTATTGCGTTTCTTGCGTTGAGCTAAGTTGTCTCGCTTGTGCGCCTTCTGGCTAAATATATTCTGGCCCTGTTCACGCTTGGATCTAAGTTGTTCCTGCTTTTGCTTTACCTTTTGTTGTTGCTGTTTTGTTAGCGGTGTTTTCTTTGCCTTCAGATGTGCAGCACGTTTAACGGAACTGATTTTAACCTTTTTCTATAATTGGTTCGAATGCTTTGTTAATAATATATTTATTGCCGTTGTAGTGTGTTCTTACCGTGCCCATTTTTATTGAATTTAACTAAAAAACGTAATTGTAAGTAAAATGCTTTGATAACCGCGAGCACATGGCACAAAGCCTTGCCACCTAGTTCGTACAACCTACAAACATATGTTGCAACACTTGCCTAGGCCTGCCAACTTGTGTGAAAACTGATGTTTGTAAATTGTTTACGCTTGCAGCATTTGTTGTTTACAATGTCTGACGAGGAGGACTACATGTCTGATAAGTTCCTGGCAGGGTAAGTTATGCCATACATATTCAGACATTATCATCAAGTTGTTATTTTAAACAGATTGCAGGAAGTGCGTCCGAGTCTCGTGCAGGATCGTGGCAAGAAACGTCAAATTGAGTTGGAATCCAAGCGCGACAAACAAATTAAGCGACAGCGTGAAATTGCATCCGCCACAAGCACCAACAATGAACGATTACAGAAAGATCTCAGCCAGCCACTGGCGGCCGACAACAAAGGATTCCAATTGCTGGCCAAGATGGGCTATAAGGCGGGCAGCGCTCTGGGGTTGCAGGCGGATGCACGCACCGAACCCATAGCTATAAATATAAAGAACGATCGTGGGGGTCTGGGACGAGAGGCAGCACTGGCTGAGCTTGCGGCAAAGCGTCAAGAATTAAGACGTGCACACCTGTTGCAAAGAGCAGGTATAGAATCTGGTGAAGAGATCAGCACGGAGGCCTTTCGCCGACGAGCCACACAAAAAGCGGAGGAACGTAAGCTGCAATACGATATAAAGCGGTGTCAGCAGACCTGCGAGTCTCTGGACTTGAAGGCAAGCATCAAAGAGCCAGAGTTGGAGTTCTTCTGGCCACCAAAGCCGCTGGAAGTTAAAGAGGGTGAGGAGGATGAAACAGCAGAGTCGGAGGAGGAAACAGATCACGAAGAACAATATAGTCCGGCCGAGCAGTTGGAGCTGTTGACAAGTTATTTACGCACAGCCTACAGATTTTGTTATTGGTGTGGCACGCATTATGAAAATGCCACGGACCTGGCGGACAACTGTCCGGGACTGACACGCGATGATCATTAAATTCACATTTATATATATTTCACAATAATACGTAGTCAAAATATTTGCAAACCGGTGTACTGGGATCGTTGGTGGACTTCTTTATATGCTAGACACGGCCCTCAAGTTTCTGTATCAAATCGTGCGTTTGCTCGATTACACTGTAGATGAAAGGCCGCTCCATTGGATCGATACGTAGCATATATTTGATGAGGTCGTGCATGTCCTGCAAAGTAAAAACTGTAAAGAAGTTCTAAATATGATGTGCTAAGGACGAACCTGCGTGTATATGGAGTCCTCTGGAATGTTTATATTACCGCTCAATACGGCCAAGGCAACACTATCACCGCGCTCATATATCGGATCGAACGGACAGTTGAAGTAGCACATTGCATATAGCACACAACCAAGACTCTAAGGATAAACAGAACATTGTAAGTTATACATTTTTATGATACATTGTATACGCACCCAAATGTCCGTGCGTTCGTCAATCGTGCAATAGGTTTTCACTGTAAACAGCTCTGGTGCCCGATACACAATCGAACTGCGCTCTTCCGCCTCGTCCTGCAGTCGTTGGGCATCCGATTGACCACAGATTTGTAATCGCGCCTCCGTCATTGACCCGAGATCGACAATAATTGGCTCAAAGGAATTGGACAAACAAATATTGGCAGTTTTTAAATCTCGGTGTGCCAACGGCACGGGTTTCGCCTCGTGTATTGCCTTCACTCCCTCACAGATGCCCAAGAAAATCTGCAGGATCTGTGCTTCAGGCATGTGGTCGAGCTTGCGAGCTCGCATCTGCAGATGATCTGCCAAGGACCCATGCTTATAATACGGCAGAACTATGTACAACGTGCTCGTTGTATTGATCACAATGTCGGCTTGACCTTTCAGCTCGTAATCAAAGACTTTGATGACATGCTCCGATTCGATTTTACGACAATTTTCGATTTCTCGCAACGCTATATTCTGATCATCAATGCTGTGGCAGGTGATTCGTTTTATTGCATACGATCGACGCGTATCCGCATTCTGTGCCAAGTCAATCAAACTGAAACCCCTGTGTGGCAGATAGTAAAGAAGATAAGATAAGGAGGTGATGGATACTTTGATGCTTACCCTTGTGCCAGCCTCTCGTTAATGGTATATTTGCTTCCATTTATATGAAGCGTTTCTCTACTGCAAAAGCAGCCGCGCTTCATTATGAGTGCCCAGCCAATGCTATGCATTTCTCTATATTCAACACTCACGCACTGACAATTTAAAAACACTACACTTATAAATTTAATTTATCTAACTAACCATTAATTTATTAAAAAACAAATTTAAAAACGCGAAAACAACTAGTCGCGTATGGGTCAGCTGTTCTGTAAGACAGGGTTGTTCGACATAAACACATGCAACGCGCATGGCGCTGCCACCTGGTCGCTAACCATACGCTGCTGTGCAACTTGCACAAATTTAAAGTTTTTTTTCCTTGAATTTGCAACGTTTTTTCAATTTTCTAAATGACCACAACGGAAGCTGAAGCTTGGCAGGATTTGGTGGCCATTAGTGCAGATCCGCCAGATAGACGAGACAAATGCGAGCAGTGCAAGTAAGTATAGATCAGCTGTGTGGAACTTAAAATGCATATTAACAAAACCTTTTAGGCGACCAGTTGTGGTCTGTTGGTGTTCCGAGCTGCCCCAGCCACCCATTGCTGTGTCCTCCCAAATTGTCATACTGCAACATCCTGCCGAGGAGAAGCGATCGCTGCGCACAGCGCACATGCTCCAACTGGGCCTAGAGCCGGGAAAATGTGTGGTCTATAAAGGCAAACGATTCCCAAATACCAAAAACTATGCCGAGCTGCAGACAATTTTTGACTCACCCCAAACACTGCTGCTGTATCCCAGCAAAGATTCAGTGCCTTTGGAACAGATTGAGCGTAGTCGCGGTCCCTACACGTTGCTCCTTATTGATGGCACATGGCCGCAGGCAAAGGCCATCTATGCCAGCAGCCCAGTACTGCATCGACTGCAACAGGTGAAGCTTATTGCGGTAGGCATCAGCGACTACGTTATACGCACGCAGCCCACGGAGGGCTGCCTCAGTACGCTGGAGACGGCGGCTCAGTGCTTGGCCGTGCTGGAATCGAAGCCGGAACTGCGCAGTACTTTAGTGCGGCCGCTGCATGCGCTCTGCAAATATCAGCTGGAGAATGGCGCTGTGGAGCATCAATCAAAAGAATTTCTGCTGAAAAACAACCAATATCCTAAGCCCATAGGCAAGCGGCTGAGTCGTTTACTAAACTATAGCAATACCGTCTGCGGTGGAGCTTTGGAACTAGAGCAGCGAGCTGTGGAACAGCAAACGTGATGTTGTAGGAGCGGCACATCAGCTAAAGGTTTGCCTAGGACATATGCTTACATTGAAGGAACGAAGGAGAATTATCACTATTTGCTATTTATAAATAAATCAATTATTGTCCGCATAGAAACTAAGTTTAAAATTTTGCTTTACCATTAAGTCTTTGTTTTTCGTAAAAAGAGGTAATTTTTATGAAGATCCCCATTTATTTTTGTATGCTTTGAACATATTATATATGTATGTGTAATGTATTTTTGTGTGCGTATAAAATGGTGCTTTTAAATACTGTGCACTAAACTAGCCATAACAAGTAAATACAATTTATAAAAGAACTTCTTTTTTTAAACCGTTGGCTTGTTTCTGGCATCCGTCAGGGCTCGCAACATCACACACTTTACGATGGCGAATCCGCGTATACAGCCATTTGTTTCCGTTTCCTCTGCAAAGATGAACAAGTGTTTGGAGTTTCTTTTAAATTAAAATTTGATGTCTACTCACTGCCCTGCGACTCGCAATACTCGATGGAATCCCCCGTGGCTGGCCACACATATTTGCGCACTAATTCCGCATTCAGCTTGAAATTGTCCATCAAGCCAGATTTTTCAAAGAAGCAACGAAAGTAGCACTAAAGGAAACTCTTAACTTTTGAATACTTAGTTAATATTTTCGATTACGTACCATGCTGGTTGTGTCATTATCATCGGGTAGGGAGCCTGTGGAATTGAAGGTAAGCACATTCGCTACAAAGAATAAACAGAATTAGCCATTTTTATTTAGAAATATTAAAAAGGTTTCCTTTACATATAGGCGTTATAAAACTGGCATTGCATATGTGCGTTATCTCGTCAAAATCTATATAGTCAGGATCTGCGGGCTTTGGTGTGGTGGTCGATATATCGTCGATATCCCCATCGAACGTATAGTGGCTTACTATATATATATCACCGTTATCCCTGGCACGATCCACAAGTGCCTCAACAGCCACAATGGTGACCAGTAGAGCGAGCAGCAACTTTGTCCAGATCTTGATCTTCCACATTATGGCCAACCGATAGTTATTTCATTGCGAAAGCAGCCCTTTTATATGATTTATTTAAACTAAATTTAAACACCCTGCCACATGCAATAGTTACAGTTATTTTGCATGCAAACACAAATTGGGAAATGTAAATAACATTTACGGAAATAGTCCACACACAATGTTATAATTTGTTCGAATTATTGCGGCGCTTGATTGGCCCATCAAAGGTAATGCCAATGACCATTTACGAGTATGAATGAACGCAATTAAATTTGTATATCTATTCATAAATTTCAACCCTTTAGTGACTAATTGGATGAAGTTCAGCTTAATATTTATATGCCGATCATTAAAAAGTGTACGGAAATACATATGTATTTGGTGAAGATGTTTGTAAGATCCAGGAGTCAGATTGGTAGACCACACGATATAGGTACATATATGACTAAAAGTATCAGATGGATTTCATTTGTGTAGTTGATCTTTTTCTCTAGATGCAAAATAATGCAAATAACAAGATCGGTGTCACTCCATGTATTTTATATAACACAAAAACCTTGACAGCAGCCTAGACCTTTCTCTTCCCCCACTTACAACTTTCACTTACCATTAATACTTACTGTATGGTATTAGGAATTCCTCAGCACAAGCTTTTCTACCGGCAAGGAATTGTGCGTGTCGTTCAGCTTGCAGATCGGGCTGATCGGGCGCCAGATCCTGACTGGCCGCAAAATACAGATAAGCAAGGCTGAGTATGAAGATAAAACGTGGAGCTTTTAGCCACATTTTGCCAAATCTAACAGCAAACTGTTTGATTGGCTAACACAGGCTCGGCCTTATATATTCGTATACTGCCACCCAATTGTAAATGGCGACAAATGATCACAAATTATCAACTCGAAAACGTTTAAACTAAATAGTTGCACTTTAATCGAACAATAAATACATGCGACAATAAAAGTTTCTCAATTATAAGTATAATATGTACAAACAAAATGCAAAGTGAACGAAATTCAAATTTGTTATCAATAGTGTCCAATTGTGGAAACATAGTAAGTATTAAAAAGATTAAACCTAAAACCTTTACGCGATTTAGGAAAATTGTGAATATAAATAGATTAACTAATTTTATTCCCAATATAAAATTTGCGAACTGTGTGAAAAAATGTTAAGGGTTATAATGTGAATGCTTGAGTTAAGCTTCACAGTTTAAAGTACAGATACTTGTATGATTTAATGAAAGGGTATTTTCATATCCTCTTGCTTTAAGAAAACAGAGTACATTAAATTTTAATATCAAACTGAAACTTAGATGATGCTCCAATGTCAATTTTAATGGTATTTTTATTTAAGAAATTGCATATTCAATATTTTTTAACATCTAATTACTAATTTCTATTATACTTATCATTTAATTTTCTGGATTCGATTAAATTCACAATTTCCTATGTTCGCGTAAAAGGCAGAAGTGGTGAAATTCTTTTAATAAGCGTACAATTAACTTATCAAGATTGTTTAATTATAGTAAAAAGTTGAGAGAAGATCGCGCAACGCGGTGTGCTTAGAGTGCGTTGTAAGTGGGTCGAAAGGGTGGTTTTGGGGGGCCTTAGTTAGTGTAACCAATAGATAACAGTGGAAATGGCTTAAAAATAATTTCGCTTAATTTTGCATACAATTTTCGTAATATTGCTGTTTGTTTTTGTTAAATTACTCTATGCAGCGTCCACGTTGCATCCACACGTCAGACCTTGGCGCCCCAGGCCCGTTTAAGGAGATACGCGCCCTTCTCGGCGATCATGACGGCGGGGGCGTGCGTGTTGCCCGCCGTTACCTTCGGCATGATGCTGGTGTCCATGACACGCAAGCCACGCACGCCGTGGACACGCAGCTCGTGATTCACGACGGCCATGGGATCGTGTAGGGGACCCATTTTACAGGAGCCTGCCTGATGGTTCTCCGGACCGGTATTCTGACGCACCGCACACTCCCAATAGGCATCGCTGGCAAAGGCGTGCGACTCACAGCCCGAGACGACCGTCTTGTCCAGCCGCATGCCGTACTGCTTGAGCGGAGAGGTCTGCGAGAGTCGTATGGCAAACTTAATGCCCTCCACCAGGGTCTTCACATCGCGCTCATCGGTCAGATAGTTGGCGAAGATGCGTGGCGGATCCAGGGGATCTGCAGAGCGCAGTGTAATATAACCTCTTGACTTGGGATTCAGTACGGCGGGGAAGATTTGAATGGCGCGGGAGCTGTTGGATAGCAGCTCGCCCACTTGGCCGGTACGGGCGCAGCTGGCCAAATAGCCGCCAAAGTAGAGCTGCAGGTCGGGGATATCAGGTCGCTCGGCCCAGCGAGTGGCAAATTTGGCCGTCACATCGGAAATGCCGGTGCCGGACATCAAGCCGTCACGGAAAAGCAAATACTCCATGGCTGTGGCCCAATTAAGGGGTGCCGTGTCCGCATCGTCGATAAAGAAGTTCGTGAAATAGGCCACATGATTGTGCAGATTCTTTCCCACGCCGGGCAAATTATGGACCGGCCGTACATTGACCTTCAACAGATCCTCCTTGGGCCCCACACCACTGAGCAACAGTATTTGTGGGGAGTTAACGGCGCCAGCACTCAGCACCACCTCCTTCTTGACCATAATCTTGCGCATGCTGCCAAACTGATCGCTTACCTCCACCCCCAATACGTTCTTCGTGTGAGGATGAATCAGAATCTTCGTCACTGTCGTGTTCAGCAGAATGTGTAGATTGCTGCGCATGCGTGCGGGTCTCAAGAAGGAGCGAGCCGAGCTATAGCGAATGCCATTGCGGGCCGTCATCTGGGCGATCATAAAGCCCGTTGAGTTCTGACCATTGAGATCCTGAACTGAAAAGCCCATCTCTTCGCCACCCTTGAGAATCGCATAGGAGAGTGGTGGATTGTAGGGGAACTTGCCCACAGGCATCAGACCGCCCTTGGCATGATACTCGCTGCCCACGACATCCAGCTCTTGATTGTCCTCTGACTTCATAAAGAATGGCAGCACATCTTTGTAGGCCCAGCCAGGATTTCCCAATGCAGCCCACTCGTCGTAGTCCTCCCGATTGCCGCGTATATACATCATGCCATTTATTACCGAAGTGCCGCCCAGGACCTTGCCACGTGGCCAGAAGCAGCGCTGCTCCATCGAGGACAGGCAGGCCATCGGCTCGGGCTCTGTGTTGTAGCGCCAATCGATGTCGCTGTTGACGAAGTTCAGGAACATGGAGGGTATTTGAGCGCCCACTGGCTCATCGCCGCCTGCAAAGGGCAAAAGCGAAAAGTTTAAAATTAATATTGCTTTAAGATTTTTCATACCTCCATCAAAAACAATTCCCTCAACTTCCACTCCTCGCTAACTTTTGTAATTTATGCACAAAGTACATAAAATATAAATATAGTAAGACCAGGCCCATTTAATTTACTTTTAGTTTAAAAAACTATTTTATTTTTAAAACTATTAATATAATTTTATAACTTCTGTAATTTATGCACAAAGTAATAAAAATACTTTGATAAATGAAATATAATATATTCAGTGCAGGTCTAATTTAAGTTAGTTTTAGTTTATTAACTATTCTGTAACCTCCATTTCTATGCCAGTTACTTCTATTAAAGCTTTAAAATAAATACAAAACTATAATTCTTCTTTACTGATGGCTTTGATTAGCCCTTTAAAGGCAATTATCGGCAACTAGAATCGTTTAGCTTAATGCCATGAGCATCTGGGTGGCATCCAAGTCCGACATTTGCGGCACGCTTTAGCATTTCAATTGCAATTTTGTTTGCTTTCAGAGCCTAAGCTCTGACTTCTTCGATCAGCGTTCTACAATTTCCGCCAAGATGCTTGAGCGGCAATTAATTAAATCAATTCAAATGCAAACACAGACAGTTTCTCGTACCGTGGGAGCTGAAATTATCTTTGCGGTAATTCCGTCAAAGTAATAATTTAGCTTTGGTATTTCGAAGCAGCGAAAAAAATTAAACAAAAAGAATTGCAAACCGCTAAAAATGCGCCACTGATTCATTGAGAATCGAAATATCTGTATTCGTATTGCCAATAACTTGTTCTACAAAGTAAACTAAAACACGACCTGACAACGTATTTCTCCAATGCACCAAAAGAAAAAACAAGATTCACAAATTTGACAAAAGATGCTCTTTCTTTTGCTTTTACGAGCAGATTAAGTGTGTGTAGGTGTGTATGTCTCTGTATGTATCTGTGAGTGTGGCAATTAGCGATCGTATGCGTAATTAATAAAATTTGAATTGTTTATGCAAAACGTAAACAAACATGCAGACAGAACTGAAATCAATTCAAGCCTTTGAACGTGTTTTTAAATATTTTGTTTTATCGCTCAAATTTTAATTCTGTTAGTGCTGCGACAAAATGTGTGAAAGATTGAAGATATTTGTTGAAACAAACTCATAAAATTTATTGAATTTATTTAGAGGCGTCAAGTTGATGAAGAGACTTCATATTTTTATTGGAAGAATAAAATTTTAAATTGCGAAAGAAAAATCGTTTTTGCAGAATATAACTCTATGTGTCCTCTAATAACAAATTTGAGAGGTAAAGTGCATTGGCTCCTAAAATAATAATAATACCAATTATAAAAAAAAACAAGAATACAAAACATAATAAAAAGCTTTACTTCTCAACTGAACTGAAATATTATATAAATACGTCAATACGCAGCAAATAAATAAAATACAAAAAAATAATCGCCTTTATTTGGCATTCGCCAAAATGTGCATTGTTATTATTGTTATTACTATTGAAAGGATGTCAGATCTTTGTCCAATTCGATCAACACAATTAATGGCCAGCACTTAAATAACTGACTCAATGATTGCAGACACGAACTTCAACAATACAATCTAACCGCATGTAATGTGTCCATCAATGCTAAACCAACAACGAACAACAAACAACAGCAACAACAAACTAACAAGCACTAATGGACTACACTATCGGGCACTGACAGATAATTAGCACCGACACACTGACAACTCTATTTTGCCTCGAACTTCCATTAAGTAACTAATTATTATAATTAGTGATGAGGCGTAAAAAGTGTCGCCGAAGGCAATTACAAGTGGAAAATTGAAAGTGTTACAGGCAGCAGATGACATGCTTAAACGCGTTTAAATAAAATTTTGAACTGGGCGCCAAATGTGACCCAAAAGGCGACTCAAGCAAAGCCAAAGCCAACGCTGATAAGTTGCAATTATGTCATTGGTTTCCATTTAATGACTTAGGGCAGCAAATATGATTTGCACACCATTTTTTTTTCGAAAAGTGTGAATATCAATTTTGTATGGCTATGGAGGTAAGTAATCTATATTAATTAACATTACGATCCAATCCCATTAAGCTTTTTATTTCATTGCACAAGGTCTTATGTATGTCCTCCTATTTCCTATGATGATTTACAAATTTTTTTCAGTCTCTCATAGCCATAAGAGATCAGAGATGTGGTTATAGAAAGCCGTTATTATAGAGTGGTTAGAAAAAGAGAGTTCTGTTGACAGCAAATGAGAAAGATAATCAATATTTAAACATGAAACGCAAAAATGATGGAGGAAAATAATTCCTTGTTGGTCTAGAAAGGAACAGAACAGTAAAGACCCCCTAAGAGGGCAAAGGAGTTTACACCGTGAATAAGAATAAGCTTGTAAAGAAAACTACACCAGGGACAGCCCCACAACTTTCTATAATGATCGATACATTTCTGTTTAACTTCCAAAAACGACTTCAATTCGAAACTATTTACACTACCAGTTATACTTTGAAGGCCATGGATTGTTTCTGAACCGAAAAATATAAATGAAAGTAAAATTATTCAAGAATTTGTTTGTTTAAAGGGCAATTCTGTTTCTATTATTTTTAAACTTAAGGCCATTTGGAATTATTTTGAAAATAAAGAGCTACAATAAATAATGATAAAAATAATAGACAAAAAAAAGAGTTTTAAATACAACTCAAAAACGTAAGGAATATGACTATAAATATTTTCTTTATTTTAAAATTAGGTGTGAGAGAGAATCTCTTCTTATCAAATTGGAGTTGTTAATGTGCAGAATTGTTTATTTAAAAGAAAGTAGAAAATGAAGAATCGTTTACAAAAAAACTTGTTCGAAATAGAACGAAAATAAATGTATATTTTAAGCACAAATCACAAATAATATGCACATTTTTTAATAATTCGAAAATCAGATCGCGTTATTAATTAATTTTTAAACAGCAATACAAAGTGTTGTTTGCGAATAAAATTCAACTTTTAATTTTATCTTTTCAAATTGATTGCAGTTGAACACTTTAAAATGGTAGTGGCTTAGCTAGTTAATCGTTTGCTTAATTAGCTTTATGTGGTAACCAAAGAAATACTCTCAAATCAAGCATAAACAAGAACTTGAGCAACATTTAAATGCCAGCAAAACAAATTAAGTGCGAACAGGCCATAAATACTGTTGCGTCAGTTGCTTAAACAATCTAGATGCATGCTAAATTCATTATAAATTTAATGAGTGCTCATTTGCCAAGTGAATGCACTGCACATATGTATGTATACAGTGATGTGTGTAAAGTTTAATGTGCGTTTTTTATTCATTCATAAAAGTCAGTAAATGATGCACAAAAAATAATTACCTTTATGTAATTAATGCAAGAAAAATATCGAAGGTAACCGGAACGTTATGCACTTAAGTGCAGTAGCAGCCAAGAGCAAGTTAAGAGCCTACAACAACAACAATAACAACAATTAAGTGCACATTTGCATGCCCACAAAAAGTTAACACCAAACGGACGATCGGACGGCAATGGATTTGTTTTACATAATTTCTCGGTGATTGTGGTTGCTATTGTTGTTGGTGTTGTTGCTTCATAAACACTGTTGTTATTGCTTTGCGGTTAGGCTTCAATTACTTCTAAACAAATGCCACATTTCGTGCGTCTAATTGCTGCCAACCGCAACACACTCTCAACATGTTGCCAGCCAACTAGTCAGCAACATGTTGATTAGCAGCTTACCCTAATTGAGGCGCCCACAGAGCGCACAGCAGCGACCGTACGCATAAGACGACCTCTTGTATTATTACCAATTAGAGTCATTAGGCCCCATTGAACTGAAGCAGCTGCCACTTACCGGCTTCGATGAGCAGCACTTTCCATTGTGGCACCTCGGAGAGGCGCGAGGCAACCACTGAGCCCGCTGAGCCACCGCCAATCACAATGAAATCGTATTCGTAATCCGGCTCCGAGCGAAACTGCAATACAAAATTGATTGTTGATTGAGATATCATTTATTGCTATTATATCGAGCCACTTTTCACATACCCTCGAGCTGGCCCGTCCGCACGGATCCTCCAAATCGCATTGGGAGCGTATGAAAACCTCCAGTAGACCCATAAACAGCATGAAGGCGCTGCCACCGCATGTGGAGGCGAGTGTGGGACCTGTGGGCACGCCCACTAGACAATCACAAGATGATGTGGCTGCGGACATGGCGTTCAGTAGCTGAAAATGAGGACATACAAAACGAAAGACTTAGGCAACGAACTCGACTAGGTATTATGAGAAGTAAATGCTGGAGAAAAATGTTATGACATTAAGTATATAAGTTTTACATTAATTGACAACCATAAATTATTTATAAAATATTTATTCTTTTGATTGTATTAAGTGAAAAATTTAAATATAATTATGTGTTATTATATATTTAGACTTTGATTGGGTTTCGTTTTAAATGAATTTTTAATACCAAACTAATAATACCAAACATTTTATTAGCATTTTATAAAAGCTTATAAAAATAAACAAAAAGTAATGCAAAATGGTGCTAAACTAAATTAACAAAAATAAAGAATATTTAGCAAATCTATTCCTTAAACATAATAACATTTGAATTGTATTTTGCGCTAACTTTTTCATTTCTCACTTTGATTTGATTTTTGAGAATTAGCCTAAAATATAGCATTCTTGCTTTCCAACGTTCACTGTAATAATTCTTTGTCTGCAATTCAATGGGCACATTGAATACCTACTAAGATGCCAAAGGGCAAAATCTGTGCGATAACTTCTACTTAACCTTGCCACCCATAAAAAACGACAACTGTGGTAAAAAGCGGCTGCAATGGCCAGCAAAAACAAAAAAAAAAGTAAGTAAGTAATGTTCAACAGCGCTATAATTAATTAAACCAACAACAATACAATGGCAATAGCACCGCAACTAAGGAGGCGGCGTTGTCTGCAATGCACAAAAACCCATAAAATACACCAAAAAAGACGAAGCACTATCGTACAATATCTTGGCCATTTGGCAAGCAGACAAATACAAGAATTGGAGTGGAAAGAGGCATGGGGCAAGGGGGAACGGCAACTGCCGGCAGCATTTGTAATTACAAAAGGCCAAGTTAGGCAGAAGCGACCGCTTAAAGCAGACAGAAGTCATAGCTCATCATCAACGGCCCCAAACAGTTCCAAAGAGGTTGGCGAGGCCCGGTGCTTTTGCTCATAAACCACCAACAACGATTGAGTTTTCCATCGTTTCTCATGACCTTAGCCCAAAGTGACTAAAATGCTGGCTGTGTCTCTCAGTTATTGCCGTTGTTGTTGCTGCTACGTTTGTATCTCTTTGTGATTCGAAATTTATGAAATTGCATGTTGATTATGATGTGGTTGCTGCTGCTGCTGCTGCTATTTTGTTGTTGTTGGTGTGGTCTGAGTGCTTCAGCCGCGTGTGCCTAAAACAAAATCACTGAGGTTACAGTAGCCAGCGTTTGATTAAGTAATATCGTAGCTACAGTGGAGATTGTATACGAAAGAACGAAGTTCTACTAATACTATAAATATCAACATATGATATACTCCTATAGCTAGAAGAAATATCGAAGATATTTGATAAAATTCCTAGGCACAGATGTTAGAAGTGACTGACATCAATTTTAATATTTCTATAACTTATGTAGTTCAAGAGAAAGGGGTGCAGATAGACAAGAAAAAGAATGCAGAAACATATGTCTCTAGATGGTTTTTAACATTGATATAAATAATGATGAATGCCTATAGGGAATAATAAACTAGTACGATCGAAAATTACTCAATGCTTCTTCTTATTATTTATTATTATTCCTCATAGGCATCGATTACAAAATGAATCTGCTTTGAGAATAAGTTGAAAAGCACCAATCGGCAGAGAGATTGCTTTCATTTGGAAAACTTTTTAAATAATTTTAAATGTAAATTTACTTTTAGGCACACTCAACTGTGCAGGTCGTTGCTTGATTTATTTGTTGGGGAGTGTACAGCAGGGCGCGCAGTTCAGATTAAAAGCCAACATGTGCTTTATATAAGACCTAAAAGAGTACTAAAAAAATCCATCCTCTGTATGAACACATAGCATGTTGACAAAATTCGGTGAAAAAAGAAAAACAAGGAAAATTTGTAAGCTCATTGAATTTACATAGTTGGCTTAAAAGCACGCATGCATTCGAATGGCTATAAACACATTCTACAGATCGCGTGCTCAGTGAGTTGGTGGCAAAAGTTGTTTGCCAAAGTTGTGAGTTGTTTCTTTGGAATTGTATCACGATTTCTGCACGCGTTTTGAAGTTCGACTATTAGTTGCTGTTGTTGTTGTTGTTGGTGGTGGTGCTGTTACCATTTTGGACGGCCAGTGGAAAAACTCGTTGCGAGGTCAACTGCCTCTCTTTGCGATTTTCCACGCACGCAGCGCTTTAATTCACTTTCGATGCATCCTTCAACTTTAAAAATAATACGAAGCCCCAATCACAATTCAAATCGTGAACAAATCGTGCTGCAAATGTCAAATGCGAGCCAAATGTTTGCCATCGAATTGAAGCAATTGCTACGTCTTTTCAACTACAGTCTCAGTTAACGTTTCAGCTTTAGTTTTGGTTTAAGTTTTGGGCTGCTTTTGTTTTCGGTTCTGTTGTTGTTTGGCTTTCTGTTTTTGGCTTGGTTTGGCGCTTACAAATTGCAATTTGATTGCCGCACCGTCGACAGTGCTGTACGATTTAATTGAGGTCAAAAGCGTTGTAGACATCTCCAAAAAATACATTTTAGATGCTGTTGTTATTGTTGCTGTCTATACTTGCTTGCTTGTGGCTTGGAAGCGCTCTATGGGCGGGCGTTTAACATTTTTTCTTTGCAATTGTTCAGTCACCAATTGGCAGCTAACTAATTGAGTTATTTAAGCAATGAGCTTAGTTTGTCGCTTAAAATGGTTAGGCGAAGAAAATGGAAGAGCTGATTTAAAATATGTAAATACCTTATAAGAGTTTGAATGTAATAGAAAAACAAAGTGAATCAAAGGCATTACAAAAATGTTGTGTAAAACTTTAGCCCACATAAACATTGTTTTTTTATTTTACGATTATATGAAAAGTTCTGATTTTTTAAAAACTGTCTAACAACAACGGCAAAAAAATTTATGATTTTTGTTAAACATATGTTATTCATAAAAAAAGAAGGGAGTCCTTTAAACAACTAAATAGATTTTATGCCATTTGAAATAAGAAGCCTCTCATAGCTTAAGAGATTTCTTATTTTGTTGATGAAATTGTGGAAAATGAAGTCAATTTTAACTTAACCTTAAGTTATAGAATAGGAAAAAGTTAAAAAATGTACTTTGATCAAAACTAGTCTGTTAAAAGTGTTTTCAATGTTGAAAAGATCGAAAATTGTTTCAAGCCTAACAAATTGTGAACAAACCAAAAATTTGAGGCAACAGCCTTTAAAATAAAATTAATTAAATATAACTATTTTCTCATTAAACATAATTGAATGCAATCAATCAAAATAGGCACCCAATTAATCAGTTAACCATGAACATATTCTTTTAATGCTACAGAGCAGAGGTTTCGCTTGCAAAACATTTGTGTATCAACATTGAAATTTGTGTGTTTAATAATAAGCTCGTTAAATCCGTTTAAAAGTAAACAGAAGGGGCTTAACATGCGTTTTTTTTTTAATTTTCTATGCATGCCACCACTTAAGTAGATAATCCATTTAGCTGGACAGGAAATGCATACTGCCAGAGGAGTGAGGAGTGTGTTTCTTGGTTTCTGCTAATATTTATTTGTGTTCAACAATGTTATCTTCCCACAGCAAACCTGCTAATACTTCCTGTGATATGAATACACACTTACGAGCATATCTATCACACCATAACTCACATTAACATTTTATCTGTGTACGGCCATAATTATGACGCATATACTATACTGCATATATATTTATGGCTTTATGTCGCCTCGACAGCCCACAATATGGGCGTAAGACTAACATGCACATAACGCATAATGCCTTGCGCAGTCAGGCGTCCTATGTCGATTATATCAACTTTGTTTTTGTGTGGCTGGGGTATCTTCACTATACTTGTAGTAGCGATTGTTGTTCTTGTTGTTGCTTTTATTGTTTTTGTTGGTGGCATTGTCTGCATTGGTGTTGCGTTTGAAGGTTTCTTTCAGGTGTCTGTCAGTCAGTCAGTTAGTCAGTCACTCAGTTAGGTAGCCAGTCAGTCAGTTGTTGGTCTCGTGCCCATTGAAACGTTTCGTTGGTGTGAACAGACAATAAAAAAAGAAGACAAAAATGAAAAATGAAAGACATGCGACGCGATAGAGCCACCTGTCATAGATAGTAGGTAGGCCTGTTGTTTTTTTTTTTTACTCTTTGCCTGAATTTAGATTTGTTTATACTTGAGGTGCTTATTAATGTGGGAACTAGGCATTTATTAGAATAATTAACACCGCATAGAGGAACCTATGACAAAGGCGCCACTTAAATACTAGCTTGCGTAACATTCTAATTTTCAGAGGTAACCATAGGTTATGGGACCGCTGCTGATAGGCAAATGCAAAGAATTCAATTAACTAAATCATATTCACAACCAAATGATGGTCATATCTAGAAGATTATGAAACTTGTAAAGAAAAAAACTATCCATTATCAAATAACATGATCTGATAGTTTCAAAAATATTATTTTAAGGTTTGGAAAAAATACCAATAACGTATGTAGACAAGTTAGTTGCTTTGAAAATGAAATGAAAGTCACGAAAATACTTTTCATTTACCATAAATGGAAACCAACTAATTGTTATTAGTTAAAAAAGAAGAAATAAATATTGAAAAAATTCAATAATAAAATATAATATTGAAATTTTTGAAATTATAACAATTTTTGTGTATATACAAAAACATTTAGTAAAACTTTGCTTTAAAAAATGTCTGGTATTTATTTATGTGTCATATATTAAATAGTTGTTAAATAATAAATTGTAAAATATACAGACAGGTCGCACGGCAACAAAAATTGCACTCATAAAAAAAATCACGTAAATTGAAATATTTATACGTAGATTTAAATATTTTTAACTTCAATTTTATACAGTAGTTTGTTTTAATTTATATCACACTTCAATTTCAAGTTTAATACATTCTTTAATATTAAATTAAAAGTATGATTTAATATTGAATCACAAGGGATGATGTGGA